ATGGAGAGCAAAAAAATGGGTGGCTCAAATTCGAAAGCCGCGCCAGTACGATTTGAAATAGGAATAGGAAACATTTGAGTTGACATTTCTTAAGCCAGGTAATCTACTGTAAGTCAGTAGTCGTGAGCTCGCGTACACTCTATGCGATCGAATTTACGCGTATTCTTAGCCCCTCGAACTGGTCTTTTTTGAGGTGACGCCCACTCCTCCAATTTCTTGCTGTGCGCAGCCCTAAATTTCCAGCCATAGCACCAGCTGGAGTTGAGTCGTCTCAGTCTAATTTCAAACAGTAGATACTGACTTAAAAATGGCCGGGTAATGCTTGGCGAAAATGCCTAATTCGTATGTTGTTTGAAACAGTCATTTCAACTTTATGGCAAGCAGGCAAGTAGCCCTTGTTGGATCCGGAACCCCGCCGGGTGGGCCTCAATCCCGGCGGCGGCGAGGAGGAGGAGTCGGAGCAGCATGGTCAGGAGGGGCTGCTCTGTCATTAAAAAAAAACAGATGGAGAGGAGAAGAGATGGATCCACCGTAGGGAGGTTTGGTGTAGCAGACCTTGGCCGCCCTAAGGGCGGGTGGGAACGCGGTCGAAGACGCGTCTGCTGTGGTTCCCTTCAACTTTATGGCGTTCACATCGGTGTTACTTTTGTTGATTGCTCAGAACTGCCCGTGGACCTTCCGTGCCAGGACACCGTCTTGTTCCGCAAGGTTTTTTTTAGATTTTATGAAATGCAGAGATCCTCCTCCCCCCACCCCTGTCGCGTGACCTACATGACACACTGTTATATGAATTTTTTTCCAATTTCAGACAACGGCCAACGTCGGCGCCGCACCAACTGCAGAGGCTGCTACTGTCACTGCCATGGATACGGATCCCCCTACGGCACCGCCTGTTGACCCGGCCATTCGATGGGCTTCCCAACTGGCTCTTTTCGCTGAGATGGGCATCACTGACACAGCTAACGTGATCCAAGTGCTTGAAGCCACCAACGGGGATATTGACTTAGCTCTTCAGCTCCTCTTTCAATGATACTGCATGCCCTCCGTCTTGTTGAGTTACTTGGAAATTGTTGCTCTCTTTTTTCATGCAAGGAACTCATTTTGTTGCATTTTTCAAACTCTGTTTGCCTTCTGCCTGGAGGATCTTTCTCTCCCGATATAATTACAGTAGGCCGCACCTCTTGACTTCTTGGGTGCGTTTCGTACGTTGCCCCTGTTATTGGGACTCTTGAGCTGGCTGAGATCCAGGCAGATGAATGGCGAGAAATCGCATCGTCTTCGAATTGGGGAAAGTGTTGACGCAGTAGGTTGGTTCAGCTAGATTGCTGTGTAGGTCCCTGAGTAGAGAGTTGTGACTTGCGGTAGTACAGTGGAACCTATAAGTCACACGGAAGGCTTCGGTCGGGTTCGCGCGATGCCCGGAATAGAATAGAGCTGTTTATGCTCCCAGTTTCACCTTCTATCAGTCCTGCCGGAAGG